CATGTTCACATTTCTCTAACCAGATCATTTCATGTTCACATTTCTCTAACCAGATGGGAGGGTGTTTTTTGTTTTATTTTGCTTTTTCTTCTTTTGTCTTTTCTCCTTAAATAATGTTTCCATAAATCTGGCTTCATGATCTGTATCAGGTGCTCAGAGGAAGTGTTACAGAGTGAGAACATCAAGGTGTAAAAGGTACTAGAATACTTTCATAGCCTTTAGAAATCTGATAAAAGCGTTAAAGCTTTCACTGTAATTTGTATCAGTGGAAAATATTTTTTATTTAATCATGAGTTTATATGTAACTACATTTAAGAATCATAGTGTGAAGTGGAAAAAATGAGAAGAGTGGAAAATGGAAAATCAACATCAGAGTCACTTATAAGGCTATGAAGAAACCCAGCATTCTTTGCCCGTCTAAGCTGTGGAGTTTGCAAGAAGCATTATCAAGCTGAGTCTGTCATACTTAGAGGCTGAAGCAGGAGGAGTTTAGGTTCAAGGTGAGAATGGGCTACAGAATAAGTTCAGAGGCACCCTGCACAACTGAGTAAGAGCCCTTCTCAAGATGAAGGAAAAAGGAGTGACTGGAGAGATGGCACAGTTAAGGGTGTGTGCTGCTCTTGCAGAGGACCCAAGGTCAGTTCCCAGCACCCCCCATACCCCTCTTCAGGCAGCTCATAACGACTTGTGACTCCAGCTTGAGGAGATCTGATCCTCATCTGGCCTCTGCAGGTGCCTGCACTCACACATAGATACACACATACACATGTAGTTAAAAAGAATACAAATCATTTTTAAAGGGAAAAGAGACCTGGAGATACCTCTCAGTGGTAAAATTCTTGCCTAGCATGTCCACGACCCCAGGTTCACTGTCCAGCATGCTCCCCTTCTGCACAGGAGGGAAGGCAGATGTGGCATTGCCCACTCTGGTTCGTCTGTATCTGAGCAGACATGGTGGCAGGGTCAGGCTTTACGACTGCCTTGCTGTGAAGCCACCAGTGAGAACTTCAAGTGTCAAGGTCGTCTCCCCTCGCACCCAGTGTGTACCCGAGGCTCCCTCCCGCAGCCCCAGGCCTGTGCTGGAGAAGGGTGCTCTCCAGTTCGTCTGCACTCTCTCTGGCACTTTCTTTTCTTTTCCTCTCACAGCTTTTGAGTAGTCTGTGGCTTCCTGTGGCATCCTCTGTAGCTTGGCCTTTGATTCCCCCAATTAACACTCGTAATGTTCCTTCTCCCCCACATACCAGGCCAGATGCCAGCTTCACACGAAGTGCCTACCCCCCCCCCCCCATCACCTAACATCTCCTCCAGTTCTCCAGTCACTGTCTGTTACCAGGGGTAGGTGCTTCCTCACCATGGCGGGTTTACTCCTCCTGCAGCCTCTACACCGTGACACATGGGCCCCTCCTCACTCTGTGCTGCTATGGCTTTCTCTGGAAGTGACCCTTGAGTCTCGTGGTGACCTTCTAGTTCCCCCAGCTCTGATGTTTGGTGACGGCATAAAGGACGGCAAGGGCATTCCTTTATCAGTTATGGGGTGGGCGGAAGTCGTTAGGACCACGGGGGTTTCGGCTTGGTGATGACGTATAGCCTCTTAGACCTGCCCAGAGGCAGAACTGTCAGTCCCACTGCCTCAGAGAGGCCTCCAAATCCGTGTACATTTCTCCTGTTCTCATAAGACTGCACTAGCTTTGTCATTAAGTGGAAGTGGAGGTGCCTCCTGTGTCTCTTGACACAGTCTAGTCCTTCTCAAGAGTTGACATCTGGGCCCTTGTCCATCCAGCATCACTTCCATACTTCCCCGCTGGTTGGTCAGAATGTTTGAAGTTTTTATCCTTTCCTTACCTCCATACACGCTAGGTTTTCTTGCACATTCCATGTGTGTGTTTGTGTGTTCCACTTGTTACTGTAGGTGTGTGCACATGTGTATGGAAACCAAAGGTAGACTCAATGTGTTTCTTTTTATTTTTTTGGTTTTTCAAGACAGGGTGCCTGTCCTGGATCTCACTTTCTAGACCAGGCTGGCCTGGAACTCACAGAGATCCGCCTGGCTCAGCCTCCTGAGTGCTGGGATTAAAGGCATGTGCCACCACTGCCCGGCTTCTATGTGTTTCTTGATTGCTTTATTTTTTGAGACGGGGTCTTTCACCGAACTGGAAGTTCATCAGTTCTGCTCCTCCCCTCTCCCAGTGATGGTTACATTCATCCATGACTGTGCTGACCTTCTATGTGTTCTGGATCTGAACTCAGGTCTTTATAGTGGTATGGCAGGCCGTTATGCACTGAACCATCTCCTTGCAACTCCAGCTCATTTCATGCGTATTTCTCTGGCTTTCTCTCTCCCCACCACGGATACTTGAAGCCAGGAAAAGAAGACAGATGGATGGGCAGGCAAATAACTCTAATTGCCATAAGAGCCAGAGTGCCTGTTTGGGGACACAGATGTAAGCCAGAGGAATCCAGCCCAGAGGCACATTCACACCCTTGCAGAATGCAAGCAGAAACTTGGTGCTAAGGCAAGGGACGTCAGGGACCAAAGAAATTATTCTTTTACTGACAGAATGACAGGCTACTTTACTTGTATCTGAGAGGCAGATGGATGGTGAGCACAGAGCCATGGGGCAGAACACGCCAGTCACACCTCCGGTTGCTGCCTGAGCCAGAGAAAGTACTCAGTGTACTTTCCTCATTGGCTGATGAGAAATCTGAGTAAGTCTATGAAATGCCTGGAGAGCAGTACCTGGCTCTAGAAAATGATGGCTAGTTTTGGATCCCTCCTCTCACAAGAGGAACTGCTTGTCCACATAGTCCTCATCCTGGTTATGAGAGCTGGGTGTACACAGACCTAGCTTCACGCCTGATGGAAGGCCAAGTGAACAGTGGCAGCCACTGTTCCTTCCCCGCGGGCTAGCACTGGAGCGAAGCCTGCAGCCTCCTTTCCCTCCATGTCTGTCTGTCCTCTGTGTTTCTGTGTTACCTTTGCAGAGCCCTCAAGTTTCCATCCTGCGCGGTGTGAGCAGTGAACCTGAGCTGTGCTGTTTCCGTCTCCTCCTCCTTTCCCCGTGGCCCTGCAGCGCCCACCCGAACCTTCCAAAACTAAACAAGAAGCCGCAGAGCCTCTCATTCTAATAGGACACTTGGAGATGGCTTGTGATTTTTGTTGTTGTTTTGTTTTAGAACCCTGAGCACATCTCTCAGATAACATTTGGAAAACAAAAGAAGAAATTTCATGAGGCCTAATCCTAATACCCTTCATACCTTTGCATCAGTTAAAACTTTATTTCTACTAGCATACTCATTTTTTTCTAATTTTAACTTTATTTTACTTTTTAACAAAATAAAATATAATAAGATAAAACAAAAAACCATCACAAGGCAAAGCAACAGAAGGAAAAGAGCCCCGAGAGAAGTCGTAAGAATCAGAGACCCACTCGTTCATACATTAGGGAGTCCCATGAAAGTACCAAACTAAAGCTATAAGACATGCAGAGGACCTGAGGCTACTAGCTTACTCTTACCTTGCGTGTGAACTAGAGTGAGAGTTTTCATCCCTGAAAAAGGGTGCTGTTGGGTGTGGACTTAGATGCTGGCAAGTTCTCTATCTGAATGTACACAAAGCAATGATGAGAAATTAAAATGGGAAAGTTGTATGAACAGCTATTATAGATCATTACCTATCACTGAGTATGGACAATAACTATTACTTCTACATTGTTAATGCTAATTATTTATTTGTAGTTGTTTACTGTAAGTCAGCCCTATGGCCTGCTTATAAGTGAGAATGTGCTTGAAATTCAGTTACTTTTCTTTTGTATGTCCGGGGCCAGATTCAACACGTGTTATCAGCTACAGAAAGCCTAGAGTCTTTGGTGGAAAGATTAACGTCTTATTTTCTTTTAAATAAACAGAGTTGCTATTATTTCACTTTCAAATTGCTTCCCTAAATTATGCCATGAATGATTAGTGTGTAATTCCCATAGTCACCACTGTAGTGTGAAATTAAGTGTGATGTGACTGGCACTGGATTTCATGTTTAGTTGCCTTTTGTTTTCTTTTGTAGCTTTTCACCTCTGGTTCCCACATCTGGATTGTAGCCATAAGTGGACTTGTAAGTGTCATTTTTTTAACCTCTTTTCCCTGATTTCCCCTCTTTTTTTATTTAAAGGAAGAAAAAAATGGGGGAAAAGTCATACTTAAATTGTGGGTGATACTCACCTCTCTCCAGCATTCTTTTAACCATGCCAGGTATAGCCTGATGTGACTAAAACAGGGCAGTTCCATGAAAATCAGAATCAAGACGAAGGAGACCGGTTGGTCTCGGGTTTCAGAGTCACTGTGACGAAGGTTTCAGATGAGGTTTTGTCAGTGTTGGTCTTAATGGCATCAGTAGTCTAATTCATAGAGAAGAAATGACAGAGAAGGAAGAGTCGGGCCCCGCTAGTGGGACAGCTGCTTCCCCTTGTCCTGTAAGAGCCGTGGCTGTGGAGGGGAAGATGAGTTGCCCTGCAGTCAGGTGGGTCTCAGGGGACCAAGATCATGGTGTCTGTGGCCAGAGAGGGAAGAATGTGCTGGAGATTTGGGTTTCCTAATCTGGAGGTTTCCTTCTCTCTCCCATGTCCACAAGAATTCATTGCACTGTAGGAAACATTTTAAAAGAAATTTAAAGCATGAGGTTGAGATTGATGCTTCATGACTTGGATGTAAACCTCTAAATTTGTGAAAATAAATTTGTAACTAGTGTATATAGAAAATAGTTTTAATCTCTTTTGTAAAAAGTAAGAAAATTACAGAATGGGTTTATAGAAATGTGCACAGTATCAAAGGGGGAAACAAATATTTACGCTCCCACTGCAGACCTGTCAATAAGTCACCCCTGTTGGTTATGCCATGGCGCTGCCCCTCGTGGCTGGTCACCGCCCATGGCGGCCATGCCGGTGGAGGAGGGGGGGGAGAGAAAGAGACAGAGACAGAGACAGAGAGACAGAGAGAGACACAGGGGGGAGGGAGAGAGGGGCCGACGGGAGGAAGGAGCGGAGAGGAGAGGGGACAGAGAGCCCACGGAGGGCCCACCCGCTTTTTAGGCTGGGAAGCCGGCGAAGGTTGATGATGTAATTAAGGACCGAATCCTCACAACCCCACCCTTGTTTTCTGAAGGAGTGTGACTTTGGGCCACCTTGAGGTGTTTTGAAGCCTTCTCATGTCTCTCTTTAAACTCCAAGTTAAGTCATTTCTTATAGAATGCTGTCCTTCCCTTCCCTTAGCTCATGTGCTTACAGCCAAAATTCTGTGGCCCAACATGAAGACTCGTCTCCTCCTTATTTCATCATTTACTCAGGACCCCATAGTGAGGCCCTCGGAGCTCCTGAGGCAGTTGGTTCTTGTTTCTGTCCCTCTCCCCCTCCCCTCTCTCCTCTCTCTCTGCTGCAGACCACAATAATATGAAGTAGGATCTCAGCTGATTATGACAAGTTAATACCTGGAAGAAGCCAAGGGCCTTCCAGAGGTCAGGTCAAGGCTCAAGGAGTCTTGGTGATATTGGCTTTTGGTTATTAGCCATTTCCTGCTATGAATTTTTCACGTGCTGTTGTAGCTTTTCCATCATTCATTGGGCACAGTTTCCCCTCTATTAATGGAATATTTAGATAACCTTCTATACAGTAACTGCAGCCAGAATCCCTAACTTCAGGCCTTTCTGTAATTATTGTCATTAGCAGCATCTGGCCAGGACCATCTCCAGATGGACGAAAGTATCTTATCTGAGACACCTCACAGATTCTCTAAGAACAGACTTAAGTATCCAGACTATCTGTTTGAGAAGGCCTGGTGGATGTGCTAATTAAGCTTAACTTTCTCCTTTCCAAAGTCTTATCTCTAGTTTTAGATCCACCCTTAACAAAACTCAGAACTAAAGGGTTCCTCCTCACAGGTACATCTAGCTGTGACGGAAGTTGCCTAGAGACCAAGCACACTTCCTCTGTTCTGCCAGAAACAGTGGGAGCAGAGATAGCTTGGAGAGATACCAGCCAAAAGGATAAAAGGCAGTTTTATCTTCAGAGCAAGGACAGAGAAGAGAAAAGAGAATGGAAGAACTGGATGGGTAAGAACTGGAGAGGAAAGAACTGAGATGGAGGAGAACTAGATTGGAGGAGAACTAGATTGGAGGGCTGGAAGAGAGGACTAGAGGAACGAGATGGGAGGTGAGGAAAAGCCAGCTGGGGAAAAAGGAGATGGGAGAGGAGCTAGATGGGAAAGAACTAGACAGATGAGAAAGACCAAGATGGGACAGAACTAAGAGGAAGGAATTAAGAGAGCACATAGAGGGAACAGCAGTAGAAAAAAGAGAGAGAAATCAGGCAAGAAAGGAGCTAAATAAGAGAGCAGAAAAGAAGCTGTGTAGAGAGAGAACGAACCAACTCAGAAGAATGAAGTGTATGGACTAAAGAATTTCGTGTACGTAGATTTATTGGAGAATCCCTCAGATTAATTCGCCACCAGTAGTGTCTCTTCTGGGACTCTGGGAAAAGGCTGTGGAGGGACTGGAGCCCAATAGCTTTCATTATCTCTCTTTTCTCTCCTCTCTCCCTCTTCCTCTCCTCCCCCCTCCCCTCCCCTCTTGAGACTGGGTTTTATTCTGTACCCAGGTTCACCTTGAGCTCACAGATGTCCTGCCCTGCTGGGATCACAGTTGTGAGCCATCTGGTACTCGTGAGACCTGTGGTGGTTTAGGGTCATTCTGGGGTCAGTTTTGCCTCCAGGCCATCAGGCCTCCTCTTCCTCAGCTTGGCTGTGTGGAGCAGTGTCCTCGGGGGCTACTTCACCTAGCAGCGGTGATCTCCAGCCTCCTTTTCAGATGTTCTAAAGCATTCAGGAGCACAAGAACCACCTTTCTCCAGGTTCATGTACCAGCTCTAATGTTTCTTTAATAACACACTGTGATACATTTGTTTAAAATGTCCCATTTTCTTTCACTATTCTCTTTTTAGACTTCTGGTGGTAAATTAAGTGCTTACCTCTGTTACCTCAGAAAGTTTCATTCTGTGACAGTCAGGGTTCTAGAACTGAAGGTTGCATTTCTCAACTGTTGGTCTTTCTGCACTCATGCTGAAGTCCTGTCTCTTCCAGTCTGCATCTTAACAGCCAGTAAACTGAATTAACTGTTTAAAGGGAATCAGAGGGTATCTACTAATTTCTAATGTAAAAATCCCTTTTTTCAGAGGAGTCAATAGGCCCATGACGTGTTTGAAATAGAATTCCAAGATGACTTGGCATTTTGAGGAGTACATTGTCATTAACCATTCAGGAACCAATTGAATTTTCTTCTTTTACAGTAATTATCTCAAATGATAAAAAAAAAATCTGATAAGTCTTCATATTAATCTCTTTTATTTTTCCAGCATATAAATAACACCTTGTTTATTTCTGATGACTAATCATGAACTGAGCGTGTATGGTAGAGCTAGCTCATAGCTGGCATTTGCAAAACCCCTAGTACTAATTAGTTAGTTGATTAAATTAAAATGATTGATAGAAACACTAATTGTAGCTAGTTTCTTTCATATTGCTCCATACATGTTGATGCTTGTTTCCATTATACTGTTTTTTTTCTGGCTTTGTTAAGAAAGCCCACATTCTTATTTTGATACTATATGTCATATATAATATGGTGTAAAGATAAGGATAATTATAAAGGGGGTCTTAATTTATAAACAGAGCATGGTGATGCACTCCTATATTCTTTCAGCACTCAAGAGGTAGAGGCAGGAAGATTGTGAGTTCAAAGCCAGCTTAGGCTACAGAGTAAGATCCTGTCTCCAACAAGGAAAAACGGAACAATAGCCTTCTTTGTGAATGTCTCGCTCATTGACCACTGAACTGACTTTAGGGTCCACATCTGAGAGTCACAAAGCCACAGTCTTGTCCAGATGCCTCCTGCTCAGTGTGACTTCCCTTTTCTCTATAGATGAACCAACTTCCTTATTCTTTTCTCCTTTTGGTTTGAATGCTAACTAACAATACTTAAACGTTAAAATTCATGCTTCCAGAAAGAAATGTGCAGATGGGATTCATTATTGTGAAGTGATGTTATAAAACCTATTGGTGGGCTCACCCAAATGGCTTGGTGGGTACTTGCTGCCAGGCCGAACGGTGAGGGACCACTGTGGAAAGGGAGAGCAGACTCTTACAAGTTGGTCAGTGAACAATGCACGTGCACACACGCTCCGCACACACTCCACACACACACACGTGCATGTGCACAAATACGTATACACGCACATAAATAAATAGATAGATAAATAAATAAATAAATAAATAAATAAATAAATAAATAAATAAATGTAATAAATAATTAGCTCTGTGTGTGTGTGTGTGTGTGTGCGCGCGCACGCGCGCGCGTGTGTAAACTTTCACCATTGGAAGCCATTATGTATCAAAAATACTGTGTTTAGGAAATAATTTTACTTAACTCTGGCAATTAATATGTGGTTTGTTTTATTTTAGGGTCCGGTGGGCAGGGCTGGGGATGTGCTTAATAATAGAATGCTTACCTAACATGCATAATATCCTGGGTTTAATCCCTAGTACCAGGGGTGGGGAGGAAGAATGTGTAAAACGGGTTCTCGACCTGTGGGTCATGACCCCAATGGGGGTCGCATGTCAGATCTCCTGCATATCAAATATTTACATTACAGTTCTTAACAGTAGCAAAATCACTGTTAGGAAGTATTGACAAACTAATATTACGGTTGGGGTCACCACAGCATGAGGAAGGTTGGGGGCCACTGGTGTAAAACATAAGTTATTTTTTATTTGCTGTCTTAGAAACTAAAAGCTATCCATGCTTTCCTGGAAAGCCAACTTTGGCTTGAGTTTAGTTTATTATAAATTGATTTCTTTTGTTGGAACAGTTTTTATCTCTTCTTGTGTTGTTTATTCTTACTTGATTATCCATGCTTCTGAATATATAATTCTAAAATATCCCGTGGTTAAAGGAAAAGTTGATGAGTGACATGGGACACCATTTTACCACCTAAGAGCCGTCTGTGTGTTCAGCTGGTCACACAGATGGGTGTGAACTAAATCCTTTCCTAGGTGGAGGGAAAGGCATCACTAGCTTACCAGGAGCCGCAGGAAGCTGAGAACAGCACTCCCTCGGTTCCATTTGGTGGCCCGTGAGGAGGGCTCACCTGCTGCCTAGAAGGATGAGGGGTTCAGCTGGGCCTCAGGGTGTGCTTTGGGATTACTCGTTTCATTGCTCTTTTGTGTTGACTTTTTCCTCCTGTCATAGTTCTATTTAAATATGAGATGTGATGAAAGACTGCAAGAGTGGAATTAGGAAGTTTGGCTTGGTATAGAAGGGGTATTTTAGTTTGTTTTAGTGCTTAAAAATTGTTACATGTGTGTGTACATTTGTGCATTGTTAATGTGTTGGAGCCTACTTGTGGGATGCACATGTGTGTTGAGGCCCAGGCTAATGCCGTGTCTTTCTAGATTGTTGAGAACAGCCATCATGTATGGAGGCAGGTCTCTCAGTTAACATAGATCCCGCCAGTGTGCCTGCTCTAGCCAGCTAGCTTACTGAGGATCTGGTCTCTACCTCTGTGCTGGTATTCCAGGCAGCCTCCAGGCCCACCTCGTGTTAATGTGGTGGGTGCTGGGGACCCACATGGCAGGCCGCACTTTGCCCACTGAGCCGTCTCCCCAACCCCGAGTGCTTGGACATTTTTAGTGAACTGCTGCTGTGGATCTTCTGAACTACTTTAGTGCAAGACTGAAAAACTAAGGCCACTGTGTATATTCTTAATTCGACCAGTCTCATTACACATTAATACTTCATTTCCCTAAAGCAAATGTTGCTTACATATTGGACATTATTTAAGTTCTTCTTGTAGTTCTGCTGAGAGCTTTGCAGCCATCTCTGTTCCAGTACTTCTCCATTTCCTGCAGTTTCATGAATCATAGGAATGAGTCATAACCACTAGGATGTACCTTGATTCTCAAAAGCATGGTCCGATTCAGCCATGATTAAAATAGAAAGAGCCTGCTTCTGCCAATTATTTGTTTTCGCACTTCGCGTCTTTACCACTTGCTCCTTTTTCAAGCTGTGTAAGAGCAAATTAACTGGTTCCCCCCCCCCCCCCAGTCTCCACAGGTGTGTGCCATCGAACCCTTACTGGGCCTCTTCTCTGACTTTTGTTACTTGCTCTGTACAGCACATCAGTCACACTTTGGTTATCTTGTGATCAAACAATCTTAGTGTGAAAAAGAATCTGTCTTACCCACTGTAGGGTAGAAATGCACATGGAAGCCAGATTATATCTAACGTTGAATGTGGTGTAGTTGGGGTTGTTTTCTGTGGACAGTCAGGATCTTCAAAGCTTTTCAGACAAACACTCAGCTGGTACAGAACTGGAGCTCTTACTGGGCGTGCATGAAAGGGAGGAAAGGAAGGTGGTTACCTCAGAGTCAGGTGTCTCCTTTGTGGGCTCCGATTGCCTGTCTCTTCTTCACATGGTTTACTTTTAATGACAAAAAAAAAGTAAATAAAACATTGGTAGAAATGAGAGTAAGTCTAGGGGCTCTGACCCACTTCCGGGTGGTGAGAACTAATGTGTGGGTCTTCCACTGCTTGGGTGTGTCTCTTCCTTCTCTTTGTGTGTCCTTTTTTTCTGCTCATACTTTTCTCCCCGGATTTCTTCCGCAGACTGACCAAACAGGGGTGCAGGGGAGCAGGGCAGATAACTCGCGTTGCTCAAGGCCTTCCGTTAAACTTTGGGAATTTAGAAGTTAGAGTCCCAAAGTTAGCAGTTCATTGAAAACAAAGTCAGGCTACAAGAGAAATCAAGGCTGGCTAAAGCTGTGATGTTGCTTGGCCTTTGAAGGTCCACATAGAGAAGCAGGACCACCAGAGGAAACACCCACATTTAGAGGGAGCCTTCCCCCTTGGGGAATTAAAAGAGCATTTATGATGCCAGTGCCCTACTGAGTGATGGCACACAGAGTCACACCCACATTTATGCTGAATGTTCCCTTCCTGCCTCCCTCTCCACTCCCAGCTTGCTCTATCCTGACCCCAGGTACTTGGACCCACTAAAAGAAACCATCTGATCCATTTGGTGGTTCATCTGTTTGGCGGCTGATGTGTTCGGATGTTGAACGTAATTGTCCCCCCATAATCCCATAGGGAGTGGCACTGTTAGGAGGCGTGGCTTTGTTGGAGTGGGTGTGGCCTTGTTGGAGGAAGTGTGTCACTGTGGAGGTGGGCTGTGAGGTTTCCTGTGCTCAGGATACCACCCAGTGTCTCAGTCGATTTCCTGTTTCCTGTAAGGTGTAGGACTTTCAGCTACTCCAGCACCATGTCTGCCTGCACACCGCCATGCTTCCCACCATGATGATAATGGCCTGAACCTCTGAAACTGTAAGCCAGCCCCCTCAATTAAATGTTTTCCTTATAATTGTTACAGTAGTCATGGTGTCTCTTCATAGCAATAAAAACCCTAACTAAGACAATCTGTTTGAGCCTTGCAGCTCAGTCCATGGCTAATGATTGATAATTTGCCAGACAGGGGTCATATAGGTGGGCAGAGACAAGTTGACATGTGATGGTGGTGGTGATGCTGCTGTTACTGGCTTTGTCTTAGGGGGTTTTGTTTGTTTTATGAGACAGGCTCTCACTGTATTACCCAGAGTAGCCTGAAACACATGATGGAGTCCAGGCTACCTTCAGACTTACTCTTCTCCATGCCTCTACCCATGAATGACAGATTACAGGCAGACACCACCATGTCTGGCAAGCAACCAGGCTAATGTCTTTAGCCGGCACAGTGCAGCCCTTCCCCAGACCGGAGCCCAGCCTCCTCGTACAGCCCATATGAGCATTTTGTTAAGTCCTGACCCAAACCTTTCCTTATCCCTCCTTGTGAGTGAGTGTAAGTGTGCACATACACGTGTATGCACGCCTCTATGTTGTTG